AAAAAGTGACGGTAAATTAAAATTTGTTTTTTGACTAATTTTTTTGCACTGTAAACTAGGACTCTTCTACAAACACATCCACCAGAATGTTTCTCCTTTTAGCTTTTTATACTTTCACTTCTAAACTGATAATCTATAAAATTTTTATTCACTACCGCCTTTTGATTCTAAAATCTACGTTTAGATGAAGAACGATAGTACAAAATTAAAAAGCTGGAACACTGAAAAGAGAGAAGAAAATACAGCTGAAGATGCATAATAATGTTAATTTGAAAGATGAAACTTCTTTGAAAGAGAAAGAGATTTTTTATATAAGTATTATGAATTGTATAACTAATACTTAGGAAGTTGACATAAAAGTAAAACATTTAGCGCTTACCAAAATTTTGGTCAATAAAATATGGATAAGTTTAGGACTTTACATTTTACTGCGCAACAATTTTAGCCAATATGCTGTTCTTAAACTTTTTGATTCTCTTATCTTTTCAATTTCGGCCTAAAAGTTTTCATAAAGTTTTAGTTTTGGCCTACAAATAGAAATGTTTAATTCTGTTGATGCCTGAACTTTTCATCTTACTGTGATAAAGCTGAACATTGTAATGCCGCCTTAGAAAGTGTCTTAGATATACTGTGTTTTATAAACTTGTATCAGAATAAAAAAATGAGTCTTTACTGAATTTTTTTCAGTTTTCTGTGTAACTGAAAAAAAAACAATGTTATAAATAAATTATTAAAATATTTATCACTATTAACTTTTTTAGCTTTAACTAATGTTTTTTAAATTTCCTAACCAAAGTTGTTTTAAAACACTAATAATAGACTAAGTTTACTTTTTTACTACCACAGTTGTTTTTTAAACTTTACTGAAAGTCACTGAGAGTTTTTGACTGCATTTAAATTACATAAAATTTTTTTTAACTCAAATCAAAACACATAATTTCTCAAATTTACTTTATTGCTAATAGTTCAACAAGGTTAATATATCAAACAAAAAATACACTTAAAACTTTTGTTCTTTTTGTCATTCTAGGTACTGTATTTAAAAAAATTTGCTACATTTATAAATAGGCTTACCAACATTTCAAATCAAAAATTATATTTTCTTTCTTTGAGTACGTCACACCGCCGTACCGATGGTGTTGATCTGTGATCTTTTATTCTGGCGGATCATATTTTGTCTAAAGATTAAATCCGTCGACCAAAATATTTGCCACAGAGACTATTACATTGCTGCTAACTTAGTAACAGCAGTGACATTTCACTTTTATAAAAGATTTGCAAATTAGAAGGTCAAGAATATGTGACATAGATTTTTTTTATGGTTTAGATTACAAAATTTTTCATAGTAATTGAGTAAGGAAAAGATATTTTGAAAAAGACAAAGGTAGTGAAAAGTATCATAACAGTTTTCGACATTTGGTATATACAGCTTAGCAGTAACACATAATAGCATTATCTCATCCCTTATCTGTGTTAAAAAAGATTCTGTTTATGAAGTTCTCTTTTAAAGCCGTCAAAATTAAGCAGCATTTTTCTTATTGGTACTATCATAGGCTTCAAGAAAATTTGCTTGAACTTTTACAAACAGCAATTAGTCAGTATTTGGTTGCTGACTGAGAGTATGACATGAGGTTCCGTGCTCTGAAGCTTTATCAAGTGTTGTCATCTACAGATTAGCCTCGCCGGCTGTCCTCAGTTACTGGTTACTAAGAAGATGCTCTACAAAAAGAAGATTAAATTTCTATCATCGTATTTTCAGCATTAATGTTTTTTTTCGAAAAAAAAAAAA